GGATTGATCTCTAGGCTTGTGTGACTGAGACCTTACATTTTTAGCTAAAAGCACCAGCGTATTCATCCATTCATGTTTTGGTTCATTCATCTGCTTTCTCTGCTAAAGGGATCCTGTCATGTCACTGTTTTAATCATGAGGGATCGAACCAGTTCCTCAAGTTATGACATTTCCAGGCTAAACATCGATGGCTCAGTTCAGACAAGCTCAATCAAGCCAAAGAAGGTTTCAGCAGAATGTTATTTTTGCCATGACCTTGTACACAGAAGGCAATAATGTAAATATTTTTGAGCGTGTCTCTATGTGTGCGTCTGATATGAAAGCTCCTCCACTGCTTTTCAATGATAAGTGAGACTTCACTATAAATGAAACAACCAATGAACAGTCTGACAAAAACCTTGGATGATTTGAAAAGGTTGACTCCCGACTTGCATGATTCACTGACACTGTCTAGACACAGAATGTCTCTCTATTCAGTGAAACTTTCAAAGAGAAGCGTGATAAAAAAAAAAAAAACCTTCTCACAAAAAGAGGCCCCGGTTAAGTCCAGTGACTCAATGGCATAGTATAAATCTGTCAACCTCTACTTTAAAACCACTCACACAAGTTGATCTGCACTGTCTCCACCTCTGAAGACCAGAGCTAGTTTATTCAAGGAAAAACACATTTAGACAGATACAATTACTCTGTGGGTTCCAGCAGAGATAAATTCAACTAGTGAGTGGAGAAAGCAATACTGAAAGGTAAAGCAATAATCATCTTTACCTTGCCAATGGTGCTACAACCCCTTTATTACACAGTTGGCTCCATAAAACCTGCACTGTGTGTGTTTGTGCTTGTGTATCTTTATGCAGACAAATGGCTTTGCATGCAGGTTTGTGTGCGTCCAGTAAGACCTGTCCTGGTTCTGGGCAAAAAGAAGCAACAAGTGGGCAAATCTAATCTGATTTTGAACTGTCCTTGGCAGTGGAGCACATGTGTAAACAGAAACTCTTAAGTGTTTTGTTTCAGTCGCTGGCTACAAAGGGACAGAGGAGAGGAGAGGAGAGGAGGACAGCTTGCATATTTATTCAATCAGAATTAATTTATTTATATTCCTTCTTGCTGTCTCATCTCTAAGCGAGGAAAAGATATAAAACATGTTTGCATACACAGAACATTCAACATCAGCAAGTCCCAGAATAGACAATAACCGCCTACCTTTCTTGCTCTCTTCTAATATGGATTTTATAAGGTAAAATGAAAAAACACACCCACACACACACAATGCGCATGGCGACATTTTTTATGTGATTCTGGTTCTATTATCCCAGTCCGATATAGTCCTGGTTTAAAAAACATCCAAGTGAGACTGGGATTTCATTAACAGACAGAAGAAAATGAGAAAGAGAATTTTGACAAGTTCTCTAAGGTGCTGGGAACACCCTACCTTCCAAATACCTTTAAAAAACTGTGTGCAAGTTCACCTCCAATAATTTGACTCGCTCTCTGATGATTTGGGCATATTTTTACTTTTGTGTACTGCACTTACAGGTTGTTGCAAAACAGTAACATTGTGGTATGATTTTTTATTTCAAAAGTGTCCTCACCTTACTTCAGCGTGCATTGTTCAGGGTAATAATACACTCACTGGCCACTTCATTGGTTACACCTTGCTATCCCTTTGTTGGAGACCCTTTTGCCTTCAGAACTGCCTTAATTCTTCATGGCACAGATTCAACAAGGTAATAGAAACACTCCTCAGATATTTTGGTCCATTATTTGGAATGAGTTGACTGTGGAGGCCGTTTGAGCCTGATGAATCCATTGTTAAAGGAACAAGAGTTTGAAATGATGTAATCTTTGTGACATGGCCTGTTATGTTACTTAAAGTACCCATCAGAAGATAGCTAGACTGTGGTCATAAAGGGACGTGGTCAGCAAGGAAAGCTATGGAGTTTAAATGGTGCTCAAGTGGTACAACGGGGCTCCAACATCATTACATCATCACCATCAGCCTAAATCGCTGATAGTGAGCAGGATGGATTCATGTTTTCATGTAGTTTACACCAAATTCTGAACCTAGCATCCAGACTCTTTAGACCAGGCAACACTTGTTGGATCTTCTATTGTCCAATTTTGTTGAGCGTGTGTACAATGTAGCCTCAGCTTCCTGTTCTTAGCTGACTGCTCTTCGGCCACTGCAGCCCATGTGCTTCAGGGCTGTGCACTCAGAGATGCTCTTCTGCACACTTTGGTTGACACACGTGATTGTTTAACTTTCTGTTGACTTGCTATCAACTTGAAGCAGTCTGGCCTTTCTCTTCTGGCATCAGCAAGTCCTTTTCACCCAGAAAACTCCCATTCATTGGATATTTTGTCTTTGTTGGACCATTTTCTGTAAATCTCAGATATGGTAAAATCTATGTTGTTGAAATACTCAGACCAGCCCAACAACCATGTCACATTCAAAGTCACCTTTCTTCCCCATTCTGATGCTGTTTTTGAACTTCCAACAGGTCTGGATGCCTACATGCTTAAGTATATTGAGTTGCTGCCATGTGATTGACTAATTAGATATTTCTGTTAATGAGTAAAAGAATGGGTATACCTAATAAAGTGGCCCATGTGTTTTAAAAACTAGCTGCTGTTTTCCCTTTTTTTTAAGAAGCCAAACAACTCTGCTCTTTATAAAATGACACTAAATGGACTTAAGACTTTTTAAGATAGTCCCTATAAACCTATGTATAACACAAAGCACAGAAAAGCACTACAATAAAAACACACGTATTTATTACCTCTGAATATTTTCTTTTCCCAAAACGCGATCTCCAGATGGGTCCAAAGGTGAGGGCAGCAGGTTCAGACAGGAAGCTAGAGACTGGCTGGAGTCTTCTCTGGACACTGTGCACACAACCAAACAGACATGTAATGAATTCAAGTTTTCTCTAACCCCAGGTGACAATCTGACTGACAACATATGTTAGCCTAAGAAGAATTCACAGCTCTCTGTTTAAATCTTCTTTTGAGATGAATTAGAGCTATAAAACTTGGATCAAAGAGGTTATTAAAATTCAGTAGTGATCCGTTGGGATCATCATACCATCAGTTGTTGTTTTTTGTGTTTCTTTACAATTATGCCTAAATATTCAATGGCACATTTAACAGGCCAATATAATAGACAGTGAAATAAAAGTTGGATATAAAGCCAAGATTTGGTATTTCTTTATGTCTTTGCAAAGGTCTCTGTCTCTCACACTGTCCCTGTGTGATTCCACAGGGCATGAGTCACCATAGGAATGAGAACGCAGAGCCCTGTGGGCCATAAATTGCTGTGAAACTGCTTGCTTTTTAATAAAGGCTTCAACAAGCCACCTGAGAGAGGTCAAAATGAGGAGTACCGATGAGTGCGTGGGCGTAAGGGATTGTGAGAAGGGTGTGCATCAAATTGTGTACGTCTGTGTGTCTGCATACATCCTTATATGAACCTGTGCATGGATCTGCGCATGTCTGTATTGTGTATTCTGCGTGAATGTCTGTTATGGTGTGTTTAAATGAGTTCCTGTAATTTGAGTTTGTGGAAGAACCTTACTCTTCTAATGCCAGCACAGAGTCTTAGTCCCTTGACTTTATGAGAACAATTCATCAAACCTTTAATTTCATGCTACAGTCTGCAAACCATTAGGTCTAATGACTAAGCATGCACGCTTGTGTGCTAGTGTGTATATTAATGATGGTGCCTCCCTTAGCTCTGCATCAGCCAGTGCCTGTAGAGATCTTTTCTGTGTGTGTGTGTGTGTGTGTTTTGACTGGCTGTGTGAGTGAACCACCCAGCCTCCCAATGCTCTTCAAACCCCATAAGCATAGGAAATTCTGTTTATTAGCGCTGAAGCTTCCATTGTATTCTTTACTTCTCAGTGCTGCTGAGCATTTTACTTTATTTGACTGCAACTGCAATATTCTAGGAGCCCATCTGGGACTTAAATATGGCCTAGAAATAGATGAATCCAACCTCACATTAACATATAATTTCACCGATAGATCTGTTGATAAGAGACAAAGCTAGTCGAGCTGACGTAAACGCACCCCGTCGCTGCATTGTTGTAGTCCCTGTGTCTGAGCAACATGAAGCACAGAAATGGAGTATGATCACAAGCTTATGTTTACCTCGTGGAGTCATTTTCTTCGTGTGTTGCACTCTACGACACATCAACTGTGTATATCTGTCTGGTTTGACGCATATTAATACGAACAAAACCTTTGCAAGCACAGATCAGAAATATAATCAGTACAGACAGTAACTGCAAGAGCTTTCGATTTTGCTCAGTTATGTCTGCGCAAAAAACCAGCACTGCTGGTTAAAATCTAATAATTTCACTGTAACATTGACTCATAACAGAAAAATCCCATTCTTAAGACATGGATGCAATAAAAGCCAATACATTAGCACACACAGAGTTTTTCTTAACAGATTTGTATGTTTGGTGGTTACACTGCACTTTTTCAGCGCAATACTAGTCTTATGTGTTGTATGAGAGGAAGCTGGGGTTCAGGGTGTTTGGCACTCCTACGCTCCACCGTGGCAGGGCACGAGCAATGATTTTCCTCCGGCAGACACTTTTCAACTGTGACGCATGTCAGGAGAAGTGTGATGGAAATGCCAGAACAACAAAGGAGATGAATTGGTGTAAATGAGGCGGCCGCATCAAAGTCCCAGCACGTGTTGAAAGAAGCAGGGAGAACACTGGTTTCATGCGTTAAGGTGATGAGGGAGAAGTGTACTAATAAAGGAAAAAGAGAGGCAAAGATTGAAGCAAAACCAGACAGGGGAGAGACTGTGACACCAGAGAGGAAGGTGAGAGAGGAGATATTCCCTTTAATTAAAAGAGATACAGATATAAAGGACATGAGTAATGTAACCTACAAACATGAGCCTGGGGGGTCAGAACTGTCCTCAAAGAGGGTCCAATCTGGCCCCCCAGACTGGATGTGTAAAAGTCGCAATGAAGTCTTTTGTCATTGTAGTAAATGGGAGTGCAAATCATGAATCATAAAGAGTAAAAGAACTTGTTTAATTCCAAAGGATATCTCAGGGTTTTAACTTATGATGCAATTGTTCATCATCCAGTCGCATGGAGTCCATTAACTCCCCTACACAGAATTCTTCTAGAAACAAGTCCCGCTGCATAGGAGGCATCTTGAAAAGCTATTTTGAAGTATTATCTAAGTGAACTTTGCATGTACAGAATCATCAGTGAAATCTGCTAAGAACTGGTTAAAAAGATTAAAAATCGCCATCTTTACTGGTTGCAGAATTCTCTCACCAATTTCTTACAATGTCACCGCGAAATATGCAAATGTTTATTATGGCAGAAACAGCAGAAAAAACGTTACCGTGTCGATGTCGCTGATCATCGGAGAGATCCAGATCTAACATGAGGTCGTCTTCATCCAGCTCAGACGAACCCAGGTTGTTCAGAACATCCTGATGAGAAAGAGCAAAAACACAAACCTGAAATAAACTCCGAAAAGGTGAGCGATAAAGCAACGACTAATTATTATCCTCACAATAACATAATACACGCTGGTGGTTTTTTTCCTGCTCTTGTCAAATGAACAAAAATAAAAGAGAATTTTTTGCCTGATGTTCTTATGATAGATTGTTGTAATACAATTTCAGTGAGGTAGTCATTAATCAAAAAGGTTCTGAAAACAAACGCTGGAACGCACAATACTAATTACTATGTGACAACTTTATAAAAAATTATGAAACGATTCTTATCAAAGTAATTCTGGTGGGTCAGAACAATCAGAAGAAGAATCACTTAGCTGAAGAAATTAAACTTTATAAATATTAGTAATGATAATAATGCAGTTCTTTTTAATAGTGCACTGTATTTCTTCCCCCATTCTGCTTGCATTTAATAAGATATTTAGTTCTTCATCATTACATCCAAACTATCGAGAACAAATTGCTCTTCTTGTTATGTAGGGACGATTAATAAAGGGTTTAGTTTAAGCGAGAAAGTGCTCAATGAGGCTGTAGTTTGGTGCAGCCACTGTCAGCTTTTACCATGCTTCACAGGCTAAAAATTGCTGATGAATAAACAAGGGGAAAAAACAACTAGAAATCTACAGAAATTTATTCCCCATGACAAAAAAACAAGCCAGTCCCTTCTGATTACTGAGTTTAAATTAATTCTCTTATGTAAAAACCAGTGTTGTCCAAACGTCAACAATAATAATCCAACAAGAAAACCTCCCTCCACCTTGGGTGGCCTTGAAATATCAACATTATCTTCACTGACGTTACGGTTTTAAGATTTCTTACAAACTCTTTAAATTTCAGAAAATAACTGATAAGATTTTCCTAATCCTTCATCTCTTAAATGAGCTATAGCCATAGCAGCGCAGTGAGTCATGCTTCATCACTTAACAGCAGATATTCACTTGTAATTTTTCAGCAGAAGCTTCCATGTTCTTGGCATTATGAGGTTATAATGACGCAGTAAGATGTGTTTCCTTTACGTTCAGCTGGATTTTAAAAGTCAATACTGCCATCCAATGGTTACAAATGGGTAAATTCACTGCAAAAAACACACAGAAGTATAGTGTGGCAAATACATGTATTAAAACACTGCATATTCCTGCCTAACAGGAAGTGCACTTATAGGCTTTATTTATCAGCTAATGTAATATTTATGAGACACTTCTACATAAACTCATATATGTCAACGTCCCTGGGAACATGTTTTTATCATCAGCAGGTCTCTGTTGAGTCAAATGAAAATCACAACCTGCATGTCAGTGCAGTTCTGCATCAACATGTAAGTCGGTAGCATTCCTGTCCTGGTTGTACTGGTAGAAATATCTTCCCTGAACTTGTGTGCACTAAAAAGTTACAAACCAAAACCAGAGTGAAATACCAGCATTCACAAACTACCAAGTACCAGTCTGGCACAACATCTACAGATTAAAATGCATCAGAAAATCCAATAACCATCTCTGTTGACCCCTCATCACTGTTGTTTGGACATAAACTGCCTCCGAGCGACTCTGTATCGATCTCCTCCCATCTGAACCTCAATGCTCAGTGGCATCCCTGACCATTAAACACACCTCTGAATTTCAAATCAGTTGACTTTATGTTCTCCAAAGCAGCAGTTACGTGTTTATGAACATTCAAAATTATATCCTTTCCTTTCCCCCTCTGGATGGCGGTGCGGTAAACATCAGAAAAAGCTCCGAATGCATTTCAGTGTAATGCGCCTGAACACGTAAGCCCTCATTTCAGGCATTAAAGCTAATAGCTAAAAGGTATTGGGAAAAGAAATGAAGAGCCATACTGTGTGATGCTACTGCACACAGACTTCATTTGAAACAAAATTACCCATTTTAATGTGCCCCTCCAACCACAGAAATGGGTTAATACGATTTTACAAGCCTGAGATGTCACCTTTTTTACATCGCTAATGTGAGTTGAATGAGTATAATCCTTGAGTTAATAGAGATAATATCAGATTCTGCTCTCATCAAAAAATGGCTCCATCTCTTAAATGCCAAGCAGAATGACATCCAAAACAGGGATAAGAGGAAGCAAGAGATTCTCTCTGTCCATAAAAAGCCAGCGGTTTCCATTCGCACTCTGTAAAAAATACCACATATACAGTCTATGAAAATTACATTTATTCACTTCTTTAAGGTGGTGAATGCATTAGTATCGCAGCAGAGCAATTTGGCTTTGCAGCCAGGTATTATGGCTGCAGATATTTATGGAGTAAAAAATGACTTCCTTTCTGTCCGAGTCGACGATTCGCAGCCAGTTGTGTTTACAGTGCGCCTGAGGGCATGAAGGATTGAACGTCCAGTGAAACTTTCGTTGAATAACACCTACTTGAGGGGAAAAAAAACCTTGTTTCACAACTTAACACCTGACATTTGACATTTTCTAACAGCCATCACTCAATACAGAAAAACCAGTCGTCCAAGACCGAAGCAAACCCGAGTAAAACGTTTTCATATTCAACGGGCGATTCGATAAGAGAAACAAATCCAGATATTTGCACCGCTGACGCTGTAAGAAACTCGCTCCGAACGCGTGGTTTAGACTGAAAGAGCTACATTTCTAACTTCGGTAGCGTGAAATCTTTCCGAGAAGATTAAGAAGATATCACATATTGCAGGTTAAGATTTATTTCAGGTCATCTTGGAAGGCCAGCTGAAAGTTTGCAAGCATTTTGACAAGTCAGAGCAGGAACTCACAGGCAAATTTAACAACACAAAAAACTACTTCAACTCTGACACGAGGCTTTCTCAGAGAAAAAGTGTCGATCAGACCAGCTTTCAGATCCTCTTTCCAGTGAAACAAGTGAAGACATATTTATTTGCAGTATCAAATCTTCATGGTCTGCGACGTGTACAGTCGGGGGAAATTGCCATGGAGCACTAATTCAAGGATCAGTTTGTTTCCATATAAATAGCTTTTATCATCATTATTATTATTATTATTATTATTATTATTATTATTATTACAGACTACTCATTCTCAACTTGCAATAAATAATTAAGAATATATTTGAATTTTCATGAGCTAGCTGTCAGACGTACATATAAAGAAAGCTATTGCAATTTGTTACTTTTTCTTTTAATTTCATTATTAATTCTTGCTTTTATTCAGCTGACTAGATTTGCTTGTTTCAACATAATTTTTAATAATTCTAAATGTTAAGTTTTACCACATTTTTTTTACTGTTGTTTTTTTGTGTTACTACTACAATAACTGAACAACACATTAGAACAGTCTCAATAAAATATGCGCACCAAAGCCTCTCAAGTGCTGACAACCAGTTAAATAAAACCTAATTAATTAACAACAATAACCTTACTTATAATAATAATAATTATGATGCGATAATTTACTGCTGCCTTGATCTCAGGTACTTGTCTATCTTATCTGAGTGAATATATTCAAGTCTGAGTTTTGTTAAACAGTCGATTCTTGTTTTGATTTCTTGTGATGTTACAGATGTTTTTGATTCCTGTTATCATCTCGTGGTTTTCTTGGTATTCATTTTCTCTGTTGGGATTCTGTGTTTTGGATCACATTCTCAGTGATTGCCAGTTGTTTTGTATTGCTTGAGCGCTGCTCTTTATAGTCTCCTGGTTTTTCTATTATATTTCCAGTATCTTGAGCACGACTTCCTGGTTATTCTGGTTAGTGTTTAGTGTTTATGGAGTCTGGATGCCCGTTAAGATGAATTACTGTTATAATGTTTAGTTGTTGAATTTCAATTTCTCTTTTGAGCTTGTTAATTTTCATGAGTGTATTTGTCTTGTTTTTCTAAGTTTATGACTTTGTCCTCTAGTGTTTCCTTGTATCTGTCCTCTTGTTTAGTCCAAGTCTTCTTATGTCCACATTTAGTTATGTGTCTTTGCCTTGTTTGGGTTTCCTTTGGCATATGTTTTCTGTATTGTCTTGCCTTGAATTTTGCTTAGTGTCTGACTCCCATGATTGCCCTGACTGTGTGTACCTGTCCCTTATCCCTAACAGTCCTTGTGTTTATATATACTCTAGTCCTCCGTGTGAGCTGTCCTTCACTTGCTCTGGTGTTTCCTGGTACTTTCTTGAATTACTGTCCACAGTTTTGTAGTTTAGGACTCTGATAATCAACAATAAAGTTTTACATTTCCTTTAGTGCTCTGCCTGCAGTGTTCTGTGCTCGGGTCCTCTGCACGACAATCTGCACACTAAATGTGATAACTGCATACTTCAAAACCACCTTAAATTCGTGTTTATTTTGCAGCATTTTGGCTCATCTAGTCATTGGTGCGTATAAGTTGCAAGATTTTTTCTCCATAAACCATTACTGTCAGGGCTCTGCAGTATAACCATTGTGCATTAGCCTCAGAGAAAATCATTTGATTTGAACTTTCAAGTATATCATAATTGGTACTGCTTTTATGTGCTGTCTTGGGGCCAAGAGAGCATATAACACCAGTATGTGCGAACATCCTCTCTGTTTTTCATTTCCAAACCAAACCGTCTGCTTGTGGTTATTACAAATTCTGTCTTGGAAAGGAAGTGAATCCTTATCTGTGTATGATTAATACAAGTGCCATTTATGCTATCTAGCCTGCACAAGGCAACAATCAGACTGAGAAATATGAAAACAAGAGCCACTCTGTATTACAACACTGACTAGCAATCAAGAGACCGTCGATAGTTGATATACATAAGTAAAGCAGTCAATGTAAAGTGAATTCTGCCATATACATATCCATCAAACTACAAACTAAAATCCATGTTCAAAGTTGTTTGTTCTCTGAGATAAGAGACAATTCCCCAAGAATGTTTTTTTCAGCCACTTTTGAGTGTAATCATTGTCAGACTGTCACAGTATTATCACAGCTGTCATTGAGAGACTCATGAGCAAACAACACCGAATATGGTGACAAAATAAATATCTCACAGCTTCTCAGGGGGATATCAAAAAACAATAACTACTGGAATGAAATCGCCAAACGGCTCAAGCAAACATCGGCTTGCTTCAGTCCACAGCGGCGCGTCACAGTTTATCTTTGCAAATTTAACAAATTAGTCATTTGTCAGTGCAAACTAAATCTTTAGCTTTTTGTATTGTATCCTTCAGCCGTTCTCTGTTTTGCGTCGCATAATCACTGTATCCCACAGGCTCTGTAACACATTACCACCATAATCATCCAAACAGTATACGTATAAACAATAAGCAAACCATTTGTATCCCAGTCATGCCCTCACTAAGTTTAGTTCTGTATTTAATTAGAAAGCTCACACTTAGGTATATACCTAACAGGTACTCCACAAATTTACATGACGGTAACAGTGGTGATGCATAATTTAATACACACTCCCAGGCTCGTACCTTTCCTTCATGACTCAGGCCCCTGACGGGCATAAAGGGCCAAAGAAAAGGGAAAGAAGACATTCCTTCATCTTTACTGAAGTGTGCATCATGTCCAGAGACAGATGCAATGAGTAAGATATAAGAGACTTGTATTAGGGGTTGGAATCACACAATTCCTCATAGTATGATACAATACCATAGCAATGAGGGACTTGGCAATACACTGCAAGACCATCATCTACACCTGACATGCACTCACCGACCAAGAATTAGAGTGCAGTAACCCTGCCATATTCAAATCAGCACGGTGAAACTGCTGATCTACTGGCAATTTCCCATACAGCCATTTATAGTGTTTACAAAGAATGGTCCAAAAAAGAGAAACTAACCAATGAGCATGCAGTTCTCTGAGTGAAAATGCCTTGTTGATGCCAGAAGTCAGAGGATGTCTGGCTTCTTATCAGCTAGACTGCTTCTAGCTGATAAAGAAAGCAACAGCAACTCACACAAACACTCGTTACAACCCAGGTATGCAGAAGAGCATCTCTGAATGTACAACAGCAGAAGGCCACTCCGGGTGCCACTTCCTGTCAGTTTAAGAGCAGGAAACTGAGGCATGAAATCATGGATCCATCCTGCCTAGTATCAAGAGTTGGGGGGAAATTTTATTGTCACACTTTGGGCCCCATTTGGGTACCAATTGAACATAATTTAAATGACACAACCAGCCTTGCTGAGCATGTACATCCCTTAGTAATAATCTGTGAGTTGATGAACCACTTTTCCCTAATCCGTTTGTTAAGTACCGCTAAAAAGAATCAAGACGTGGTGACCCTCAATAAACTGTTCCACCTCTACAGTGTATACTTCTGCATTCACCATCTCATTTACAGTCGATTCAACTGCGTCTCATTTCAAAATGTTACTTCCTGGGATTATCAGGACACTTACTCACCACCAACATACCATCACACCAACAATTTACAACTTTTTTTTCTGAGTCAAAGCTGAAAAAGTAAACAGAGCTATGTCTGCATTGCTGAGGGCATGCTGGAACATTTAGTGTTTGCATAGCCAGAGGCATGAGCACTGAGTGAGATTAGGCCGGATCCTTTATTACATTACATATTAAATGGCATTGCATTAGTGGTCGGCTATGATTGAGGCCAATTACATCTTCTCTTTTTATTCCCTTTCAAAAGAGACACAATTTTATACTTGAAATGACAATCAAGTAATCAACTAAAGAGGGTATTTTTCCCCTCGTTATCTTTGTGTGTATTGTTGAAATTAAATGTAATCATTTAAAACATGATTTTAAATAGCAATCCATCTTCATCCAGACAAGGTTTAATTTTTTTTTAAATCTCTTTCTATACTAATAAGCCTGTAAATGCATTTCAAATAACCCTTCATGTACACTGAGTATAGGCGTGCCAGTATGAACAGGCAGCACAGTGTTTACACCAGCTGTGTTTGCACAGCAGTGGCAAAAAGTAAGGTCAGAGAGTCGTAGCACTACTTTAATAATGACTTGATGTTGTTAGTGAAAGTGACCAAACCCAGCAGCATTTCCACAAGTATCCTCTTTAAGGGTCCTTTAGCCAGCGTGAACGTTTTACATTTAGAACTGCATAACTTTTATTCAGCACCAGTATACCCCACCCTTAGTGTAGTTTGTTTGTACAGATGTTAATGTGGTAATTGCACTCAGGTGTGGATCAAAACAAGACGCTTTGGAGAAGGTGGTATGACTCCAGTTCCAGATAAACTCCAGTGGGGTTTGTTTTTGGCATAAATGTGATCCGACTTTGATCCGATCCAACTACTGTGTGTATGCTGAAAGTTGGAGCTAAACGCCTTCCTGTAGCCAGCTATGTGGCGCATTCTGGGATGCAGCAGAGCATTATAGACATGCACAAACTACACAAACTATAGCAACTACCTGCAAAAACAACCAGTAGCTCACTTGGTATGTTGCCTTATTGACAATTTGGTCAAAGGACTACATTTTTTTTTATCTCCTTCTGTATTTATTTAGTTCACGTGATTTGTAGTGATGCTTTTGGATTTGCTTGAATTTTCTCTGTGTGAAAAGAAACCAAATCACAAACTCCATACCAGAGTAAACAAACTGTAGGCATAGAAACACCTTAAATACCTGTAACACTGTTTCCACAATTGGTTGTTACAGCATTTATCACAATAAAATCAATTGTCCCTCATCATGTTAGCTATGTTTCTGAGGAGAATTTCTTTGAAGCAGGGCCAACAGAGTGGTGTGGCCAATATCTCATCTGAGATGCGTGCAATTCATAAAGTGCCTCCATCACTGACCAAAAAGGCAAAACTCCCGTAGGCACCTCAACACAAATGAGTATATATGCATGATATAAAGCAACACAATACCACACAAATAATAAAGCACAAAAGTGCTTTAAATATACAGAAACACACACACACAAATTAATATATTGTTAACTTTTTTTTCTTTACACTTTTGTGCTTTATTATGTATTATAACCTCACAAAAATATATGACTAGCTGATGTAATATATATATATATAAATAAAAAATTGTTTACCGCAAATGTGCACAAACAACTACTGATGACATAATCATCAAAGGGCACTGCTGTCGAATAAACACACAGGCAAACAAACACAGAAAGCTTAAGACCTACCAGGCTCCCGAGTTTAGACGATGAGGAGTTGTTTCTGTGTTTGAGCAGACCACATCCCTCCATGCCGGGGGCTTCTCTGTGGTTTCCATGGATACGAGGACCACCAGCCCCCTCGGACGAGGAGCGCAGACGTCTTTCCATCCGCATCACCTCGTGGTAGGGGCTGGCACTGCTGCACAGTGAGGCTGGAGGAAAGAATGAAACAAAGAGAATTACACAGTCAGACAGATGGAGAGAAATAATGAATTCAGGTGAAATTGTTATAACAGTGATTCCACAAGCATAGATGTAATCATGTTTTATTGTATTCCTAATGCAGTCAGCCCTATTTCCTGTTAGAAAAGCGCTTTTGTTTCATGAAACTAAATCACAATGTTTTTATATATTCAGCATTTTAAACAACATTCAATTTTCCATTTACAAAGCTTTTCAGCAATATTGCTTTTGGTCAAATGCTATTTATTGTTTTCAGGGGAAATACTCCTCAGACAGATAAATGAAAGATTGTTATAATTGCTCTATTTTGATCTCCTGGAAGATTGAAGTGAAAACAGAGAGACAATACCACATCCTGTCAGTAAGCAAGAGGAGACACACAGACACACAAAAACAAGACTTTGTATGAGCCATTTTATCTTCCTTATTTCTTGCTACACTTGCACACTGTTACCTGAACCTTTACACGCGCAAACAACAGGTATGTAAGTCAGTAGTCTTCATGCAAGAACTAAGCAGACATGAGAACACTGAAGAAGTGCCATGATTGCATCTGTAACTACACATGGAGTTACAACACATTGGGACTCTTATTGTAGACTGTTCAAATGTTTGCACAAAAAATTCCTTTTTTGTAGAGTCAACAGATGAGCTTATTTGTCTCAGTGATAGTCTGTCAGTAGTTCTCACTGCCTGGAAGCCAGAAACTCAAAGTGTAAATCAATATTCAGCTATTGTCCTTCAGGAGGGATTGCAACATGCTATGTGTGTCTGTGTGTTGCTAAAATAGGCCATTAATACCATGTTACGTGTTCGCTTGCAGACAGTCCTTCAATCAAGCCATGTTTTGACTGCGCAACAGCATGCCTTGAACAGTTGCAATAATCAAGGTTACAGTCCTTCTAGAGTTTCTAACAGAAGAAAAAAAAGGCAAATTGGGAGCATCATCAAAGTGTATCAATGCCCACATTTTATACAGGAAACATGAATGGCGTTGATGCTTTGAACATGGCTAAACCTTGGTGGATCATCAAGTTTCTTATCAGTCTCTTCAGTTTCAACTGTGAAGGTAACAAAACAACAATTTAGCGCTACGGTGGTTAACACATTTGTCTCACAAGTGAAAGATCCTCAGTTCGAGACCGTGAGGAAACACAAATCCAGTCAGAAGGCGAAATAATGCCAGTACTAAGCCCGGATAAAAGAGAGGACTGCATCAGAAATGGCATCTGGCATAAAATTGTGTGAACCAAATCAAACGAGTGGATCCATCTGCTGTGGCGAAGAAAATAAGGGAGCAGCCAAAAGTGCCTGTACTGCCGGTATGCAACTGACCTCTGATTCCTCATCAAACAGTTTAGACAGTCCTCCCAGTGAAGCCCTGGACTTCATGTTTGAATGATTCAAATTTTCTTCTTCTATTGCCTGGTGCCTTTAGGGCTCGCCACAGCAGATTGTCTGCTTTCATCTCACTCGATCTCTAACATCCTCTTCTGTCGCTTCTGTGGTCTTTCTCTTGTCCTTCTGCCTGGGAGCTCCATATTCAACATCCTGTGTCCAGTATATCCACTATACTTCCTCTGCACATGTCCCAACTGTCTAAACCTTGCCTCTCTAACGTTGTCTCTAAACCACTCAACCTCAGCTGTTCCTCATTTCTTTTCCATTCCAGTCAGTCCTAACAAAAATCTTAGCATCTTCAACTCGGCTTCTTGTCTTTGTTGTAAGTGCCAAACCATACATCATAGTAGGTCTCAGTACCATCTTGTAAACCTTTCTTTTCACTCTTGCAGCTTCCTTCTGTCACAAATCACCCCAATAGTGGTCTCCACCCGCTCAACCCTTTCTTCTTCACCTCTCTTGAGCCGTTTTGTAGGCATTTTTTGTTGTTACCAGAGAAAATCTGGCAAGAAGAAAGTGCGCATTGTGTTGCAGCAGCTGGAGGTGAATTAAGAATAACATTAACAAATCCGCTTTATTTAAGAAAAACTCTTTCAATGTGACACTTACTGTTTCAGTCAGTCCACAGCTGCCACTAATTTAATATACTGAAAGGATTTTTCCAGATTAACTGCCTGAGCTGCTGCAAGAAGGACTGACAGCCACACAAGTTTCAAATCTGATTTGAAATTCATGTTGCCGATTTCCAGCCCTAATTTGTTTATTGTCTGGAAACATTCTCACTCCCAACTTTGAATTAGCAAACAATTTGGAAGCAAACAATGCAAAGGCATTATGCTCCGTATGTCAATACAAATCATCTTGTAGTCTGCAATCATCAAGTGGGAACAAGCTGAGAGACATGAGAATAATATCATTTTAAATCTCGATTATGCCAATTTACAGCACCTCCACTTATCAGCTTCCTGGGAGAATCTCTTTGATAGGCTTGATAATGAACTCTCAAGATTTTTATTGGCATTCTAATTCACACTTGTACAATCACGCATAGGGAAGTAATAAAACCAAACAACACTGAAGTAGCAGGAGCATAGCATCACTTTAACTTCATAATAAATGTTTACTGTCAAACTCATTTCAGCAGAGATGAATGTGGATCTTTTTTGATGAAAACGTAACAGTGACTATATTAACAGCAATTTGTTCAGATCATACTTACAAATGAACATCTCCAATAATACAATAATACTGTTGCCATAAATTTTTTCATGGAAAAACAACAATTTAGAATCCGACAATGATTCACGTTCAATATGTTTCCATGCATCAGTATGTGACGCGGGTCCACGACATGTTTGAGGACAGTGAGACAGTGATGAGGTGTATGTTAGGAGTGACAGATGAGTTCAAGGTGGGGGTAGGATTACATCAGGGATTGGGCCTGATGAGCCCTTGTTTGTAGTAGCAGCGCAGAATTCTCTATTGACTATAACGTTTGATGACATTGCGATCGCCGCTGAGAGTAAGTAGCAGGTGGAAGAGAAACAGGTGGGGTGGAGGTATGCTCTGGAAAGGAGGAATGAAAGTTAGAATACACGTCTGTGAACGAGAAGGAGACAGGTGTAACAGTGACCATTCAATGAGCAGAAGGGGTGAAGTCAGATGAGTTTAAGTACTTTCGCCTGTCTCATGCAAATCCGAAGCAACAAATGGTGCATAACAGAGGTGAAGAAAAGAGTGCAGCCAGGGTGGAGTAGGCGGAAAAGTGTTAGGGGTGATTTGTGATAGAGGATAGCAGCAAGAGTCAAAGGTAAGGGCTACAAGATGGTAATAAGACCTGCTATGATGTATGCTATACTGCCATAAGTATTTATTCACCCACCCAAATAACTGAATTCAGGTGTTTTAATAACTTTTATAGTCACAGGTGTTCAAGAGCACCTAACCATACACACTGCTTCTCAATACCTTGTGAAAGAATGGGTCGCTATCAGGAGCTCGGTGAATTCCAGCCTGTGCAACAACTCCGGTATTCGACAGTCAACTATTAGTGGTATTATAACAAAGTTAAAGTTATATATAAAGTGGTAGGCGACATAAAATCACAGAGTGGGCTCAGTGAATGCTGAGGTGCGTAGTGCGCAGAGTCAGTTGCTACAAACTTAATGTGACCTTCAGATTAGCTCAAGAACAGCATGTAGAAAGCGTCATGAAATGAGTGTCATATCATGATATCAATGATATCAATCAATACAGCAATTCCAAACAAGACAAGCCCAGGCATATCTGAGAGCAAGAGCCATGTGTCAGCTTCTCGTGATGATGATTTAGTACCAAATGTGTTTCGCCACTTGAGGCCAAAACACACCATCAGAATCCACACGACGTGGAGATACGAGCAACTGGTCATGTGCAACCAATAGTAAACAAATGACTCCCCCAAGCATGGCTCGGTGTGACAGGACGAGCAAACAGTGGAATGAAATTACTGATTTGGTTTGCTGTCTCACCACTATTGCACTGTAAAGCTGCTTCTGCTGGCACCTTGTGGCAACAGATTTACACTTTCAATTATGTAGTCTGTCATCACTGACAGTAACTCGCTGGAAAAGGAGGACAGAAAATGCCCTCATTTTGTTTGCAGTAATAAATGCTGCTCTCTGTCGCTGCAATTACAGATAAAATATTGTTCAGTAGTTTTCTCTATATCTTCTAAGCTGTCATCAAAATTATGATCGTAAGTTCCCTTAAAATGTTGTGATATCATTTTGAGCCTTTTATTGCCAAACCCTACACTGGTGTTTTGGAAATGCCTTATCTGTTCAAGTCAGTACAGTGAATCTGTGTGTTTAAGTCATAAAGTGTGGAAAGAAGTACAAGAAAATAAAAGTGTCAGAGTGAACAAAGTGTATGTGTGAAGTTAAAGGCTTAGTTTCCAGCAAACGTAACGTGTGTACATTTTTTTCTTGGTGTGTGTTTCTTACACCAAGGGATCAACCCAGCTCTATGACTCACACTGACCACATAGGCTGTATACATTTGTATGCCCGGGGCTTTGGCTTTGCATGTAAATATGTTATTTACCTGCAAGCATTTGCTTGAATTTGATACCTGTGTGTGGTTTCCTCAAGTGAGAGGGTCTGGGTTCGTGGCAGCCGCAGAAGCTTCCTCTTTCTTGAAAAGATCGCGTGGTTCTTGCCCTCCTCTCTGACTGCTCAGGGTTAGAGTGGCAGCCCTCACTGCGTACGACGCACACCTCGCTCTCACTTGTGGTCTCTGTGTGGTAACCTGTCTTCCTCTCTAAGTCCAAGTCCTCCCTCTTCTCTGCTGACAACTCTTTCCTCGCTTCCTTCCTTTCCTCCTCCCTCTCCTTCCTTTCCTCCAGCGACTGTTCCCGCAGAGGTAGGCAGGGTACGGCCGTCTCAGGCTCCGAGACGGAAACGGCAGTCTCGTAGTCCGTGTTGTTGGCTGTGCTGGTGTCTGGGAGTAAGGGTTTTTCAGTGCTTGATTGGGCAGGAGTGAAGAAAACCTGAGGATAAGGCATTTTATTTAGTATGTGCAAAGTTGCCAGTTCTCACTGGCAAGATAATGAAGCAAAAAGCTAACAGTTTACATAGAGAAGATCGCCCTTCAGCTAGCATTTAAAAGGTGGATGTTTGTGTTCTCATGCACCAAAGTGCACATGTTTAGACAGCAAAATAATGCAGTCTTTACTACTCTAAAGCCATAAAGGAAAGTGAATGCTTTCATTTTTTGAAGTTCCCTCAGCTGGCAGTAAAACAGAATAATATCTCTGAATAAATGCTTTGAAGGAGGAAAAGTTGTGAGCGTAAAGGTGTGAAATGCGAAGGGCAGAATTCAGACATGCACTAGTCTTCTTTTTCATGCCTAAGCTCTTTCAGTAAAAGGATTTTTTATGCCCGGTGCTCAACTTTTATTCCATATTTCACACACTCCAAACAGTGGTCACAAATACTCGTCCTTTGTGCTTGTTCTTGTTTTTGCATTTAACAGCAACTGCAGCTGTATTCCTGAAGCCCTAACATTTTTATTTGGTTTATTTGGTTCTATTTGGTTACATGCAGATCGATTACTTAGTATTTAAATGTGGTGCGTTTTTATCATAAAAGCTGTTATGTGTTATTAAACTCATTGTTAGTCTATACTGGTTAACCCCATTTGATTTTAAACCTTCTTCAACAAAACAAACATGATACCTGGGAGGTAGAGACAGCCACGCTGAAGTTTTCTGGAACAGGTGGATGATCGGGTGGAGCAGCTTCCGTATCTACCCCTGGTGTAGAGGCCGGTTCTGGTGCTGAACCCGATCCGGGGCTCGGAGCTGGCAGCGCATCTACTTCAGATACAGAGTCTTCAGTGATTGGAATGAACTCGGAAGGAGTGATCGCTGTGGTTCGATCCTCTGATATCATAGGGGACTGGAGTGAGCTCTCACCACCAGCACCAAGTTCACCAGGCCAGGATCCTGGGGTGAGCCCTCCTGCCCCTGGAGTGATGGTAGCGGTGGTGCTGGGAGGCTCCAGCTTCACTTCAGGGGGCCTGTGATGATCAGATGTCCGGGAGAAGCGCTGGTGAGCTGAGAAAGACTTCGGAAGCAGCTGTTTCTTCTGGCGTGATGACCGTCTGTTGTTGTTACTGCCGCCACTGTAGTCATCGAGGATCCCGGAGTCATCGCCCTCGTTGGTTCCCGAGCTGCTGATGCAGTTGATGAACACATTTCGATTGGTCGTAGAGGACGATGATGAAGCCTTGTCAAAGTCCTCAGTCTGAGAGCGTGTGATTTTCTTTTGCTTGTGGCTGCCAAATCCAAATGAGTGGCGTGACTTGGGCCGTCCGCCGCCATCGCTGAACCCTGTTGACACCGACGTGCTGATTGCCTGCTGATTATTTCCGTTGGCATCGGTGCTCTGTGTCAGCGGCGGTGTGAGGTTGAGGTTGATAGGCTGGACACGTGGATCGCTGTTCCGTTTACTTGCGAAGCTGAGAGACGGCGTGCGGAACAGGCTCCGCCGTTTCCCAGTGCTGCCGGAGCTGGAGTTGGTGCTGGAAGGCGAGGAGGTGTGGACGCCATTTCCCACTCCGCCTGAAGATGGAGAGGAGGGAAGGGACTCCTGCCTCTTGCTGCTGCTGCGGCGGAAGATTGGCAGGCGGGAAACAAGAGTTGATCGCCGTGAGCCTGATTCACCCATTTAAAAGCTGAGGCAGTGGGCCACTCTGAGAGAACAAGCAGACAGAAACATTTAATAAATAAACCATTCATCAACTCCTGAATACTGCATGGCATACACCACTTCTTCTCTGGTGCCAAACCCTTATGTGGCAGCTAAGAACTCTCAAAGTCCGGTCCATTAACCCTTGGAGCACAATTGTATTTTTCAAAAATGGAGTTTAACTTCACAAACTGCTCACATGTCCCACTCTTAAAGTTGCTGCTGCATCTTTACCCATTCTGATATGGGAAAAGTGTCATACTTAAGAGATTTTTCCCCAAATCGGGCATGTGAAATGACTCCTTAAACCAAAACAGTGTTGTTTACACCATTTCTCCTAGTGTCTATGTGTGAACTTTCTCTAATGGAAAAATTTAATCAAACACCTGCCTCAAAAGAGCTCAAAAGAAAACAAAATCACATTTCACATTTATTCCATACAAATAAAGTGGTTGTCAAGTCTGAATACACTCAGCATACTGAAGGGGCTTAGCTGAAGTCTACTTCTGTTTATTGTACATCAGTACATGTGAACAAAGACGGATCTAACACTCTCACAAAGGTGTGAGATCTCACAGAATGAGAGGCAGTATTTTTCATTCGGTAAAGCAGGAATTCTGGGTGTAAAAGGCCTTTTTGTCTGTCATCAGCCTGTCAGATAACATTCAGCGCTAGCAGCAGTCGATGTTCATCTGTTGAGCCACATCAGTTCGGGGCTTGCTAAATGTCTGAAGACAGGAGGGATGAAGGGGTGAAAGACTTTAAAATAGTTCAATTATTTTTTTATAATGAGAATTTATTTGTTTCTCTCTAGCACAAAAGTGGATTAAACTAACAAGAAAACCAAAAAATAACATCTGTTTTGGCATCGGCTACTGGACAAATTGTTCTTTTAAAAACATCAATAATAGCCGAGAACTTCACTTTTAGCGCATCCCTACTTTAAGGTCATCTGGCGTGTCTCACAAAAAAACTGCTGCTCTGATACATCTCATATTTCATAAGATCAAACAGTAAAAAAGGCTCTTTATTGCCCCAAAACGTCATTTTCACTTGGAAGTGCATGTAAAGAAAGTCTTTTACGTGAATATTATTAGATCTGCTATGAGACCTGGAGGGTTGATTTCTGTTTAACATGTCACACATTACAATTAACATTTACTTGACAACTAAATTGTGCAGACAGACCTAACCCAAGGGGAGAGCCAGACAAACACAGAATGGAAGGAAGTGAAGAAGAGAGAGTTACAAAATATCCTAAGCGCTCTTTCAGGGTGTTTTTTTTGTATGGATGTACTAGAAAAAGATCAAATCTTAGCACAGTTATTTACAGGTACAGTAAGTTCATTTTTTAAGGTCATTTGATAGAAAAAAGAATGTTGTACTCATAAATATACACTTTTCCTCTAATAAACAATTTGATTACGTTCCCACATTATACAAGACTTTATCCACTAAGTATCTGAGTCCAACAATGCTAGATCAACTTTAAAAAATGTTTCATTAACAGAGACTAACAGCAGCTAACAGATGCTAACAGCAGCTAACAGATGCTAACAGCAGCTAACAGAGGTTTTTCTGCGCTTACCAACAGAAAAGTTCAGCGTATCCTCAGAGCTCACCTCAGTATCAGAGAAGCAAGCTTCACTTAATTGTTTATCCTACATTGACCACCATAGCTAGGATTCTGCACTTGAATTAGGAGGGGTAAGGAAATGATGTCCAGTATCACCTTCAGCCATACGCAATATGGTTGAAATGACCTGTGGCTCTTTAGTGGTTCACTGTGTGTGTGTTCCCCTGGTCTTTCTCCTCTCACTATTAAATAAAGGGGAAAAAATGCCCCTAAAAGAATTCAGTAATGGATTTACAGATTTTACGCGCTGAACAGCGCGTAAAATCTATTATGGTTGGCCATGAGTTGTACTCATGGCCAACCATAACTTCCTGGCCCATAGCTCACCCTCTCACCTGCACTGGCTGTTGAGAATACAAAATTAGAGCGTCAGCCTACAACAATGTTCCTCACATGATCTTACAAAGAGAGTCTCTGAGTAAACACAATGCCCCACTGCTAGTAGGAACTGACTAAAGTTCCCCTTTTTGAGTCATAAAGGAAGGCTTTCATTTGAGCAAATACTCCTGTCATTGTTTTTTTGGACTCAGTAAGCGTAACAGTGACTATGCAGTCCCTGTACTATTGAAGAGCCGACCTCTCTAAGAGCTCCTGAAGTGTTTTGTTTTCAATCTCTGCCTAATAAGCTTACATTAACACTCTCCACTCTGAAGTGGCGTATTATTAGTGTCACCTACCTGAAAGTAAATGTTCTCATATTCTAAATGTGATGCAAATTTTAAATTACAATTTAACTCAATGCAATGTATAAAACGGAAAAGGAAGAGAGAGAGGAAGTCAATAAATAGTACTGCCAAACAACGGCGTTAATATCACACGCATAACAACTCATCATATACGTATTTGGCTAGGGTCTGTCCTCGATCACATCTAGCTGTTCGTGCAAGTCAAGACAGAGCGGTCACCAGCTGTATCAAACGCTTCCTTTTCAGATTAGCCAACAGTTTAGTAGCTTTAGATTTTCAACCCACCACACAGCCATTTGACCTGGTCATAGTACTCTGGGCTAACCGATTACGACAACCAATTAGACAGATTAAATCAGATTGAGAACGCCTCTCTCATTTAACAATAAGGGCAAACAACCTGTTGTCAGACTTTACAGGGGCTAAAATGTCAAATATACACTCACTCAATACTACCTTTGGAAGCATTGTTTTATTATAATCATGCTGTCATCTATAATCTAACACAAAATTACATTATAGGCTCAAAAGAGCTAACAGACACTCAGGCATTTGCCTAAACTCATCACTGCTCAGTAACTGCTCATGAAGCGAGGCTACCTACAAAAAAGGAAGCAAAACTTCACCTAATCTGAGTTCCCCTTTGCTTTGCAATTAGTCTCAGAGCTGCTGAACTGAATGCAAAGTGTTCGTTTTGCTGTGAGCTGGCGTTGCTTCTATATAACTGTCCGCTTAGATGTTCACTTAAATCAAGAATTACTTGAATTGGAGAAGAAAGACTTCTAAGCATGTTTCTAGATCCCTAGCTCTAGTTTTCCCAAATTAAACACATGATAGGTTACGTTTTCTGTCATTGTGGCCTTCACTCCATGTAACAATAGTGATATATTAATATCACAATCCTCAAATAAACCAAAACAGAATGAAGAACTTTACTCATGCAGCGCTCTGCGGTTTTTGGCATCTTATCGACACACCCTGCAACAATAGTTAACAATCAGCAGACAATGGCACAAAGACACCCTCCCATCTCAGAGTAATTTTACACTGATACTGTACATGATCACCGGTTTGAAATAATAGGTGTGTATAGGGTGTGAAAAATGGGTGTTTCCTATAAAACAGGTTCTGGGTGCGATAATTTTCAAAACCATAACCACATGTTAGAGTTAATGCAAACCGTACTCTTCTATTCAATGTAATGAAAGATTGCAGGGAAGGAGTGCTATTTGAAAAGTGTGTTTTCATAGAAGGAGTAAGCTGGCTGCAATGCTGCTGTAGACAGTGTTATCAAAGAAAAACATTCCTATATTTTTTAGCAAATACCTCCATGCTGAAAAACATAAATACTACTGGATTTGAACTACAAGCTATAGTGCTACATTACAAATAATCTAGTGATACAGCCAAGGTTATAACTAGTCTTTTATCAATCTATCTCATCTAGCTTCTTCTGACTGTCTGTGTTGATAATATTTAATAAACGCACACACCTCTTTCCCACAAGCCAGGGCATGTGGAGAAAACCAAAAACAATCTTAAGCAATAGGATGCCAATTTAACCATGAATGGAACTGAGAACTGTAATCCGTCACCATTGCTAGAGTGAATGGAAGATAAGTAAAGTGCAGTCTGCAAACATATCCTAACATAAACTAAGCAACTTGTTATATAAACGTCAGCCTGATATTTGGACAGTACATGTTTAAATACGGAAGACCTGTGAGTGTATCGTGGATAGAATGCAAACTCAAATAAGCATGTGGATGGTTCTTAAAAGCAACTATGTTTTTTTAAATCACAACAGAAGTAACATTAGAGAGAAACAGGATACATATAGGAAACTTGAAGGATTAATGAAGCATAGGAGTAATATGTGAGCAAACAGATCAACAGAATGAACAGCAACAGAATGATGTTATAACTGTGTCACTCACAAGCAACTTATAACACTTTAATAACCCTGTAATATCCAGCAGTTCAGCCACAACACACTTACACTCTATTACATACATTTTTATAGGAGTGGTATACACTGCACCGGGATCACTGGAGCCATGATCACAAAATACTGTTGTAAACAGTGCTGTACATCATGCCAAAATAAGCATTTTTCCATCTGCCAACACAGACCATCGCTGTGTGCCAACCACGCACAATAATAAGGCTTCTATTAACGTGAAGCAGCGATGTTAGATAATCTTGAGGCCACAGGAGGCATTTCACAACTGCTTTCATGAGCTCCAGCAATGAATGCTGTGGTCATTTATGCTTCTGCTGAATTACATGCTTCTTAGCTCTGTTGATGATGATGATGATGATGATGATGATGGGCTCAAAATCACAACAATGAATGGGCCTCAGCGTCTGTAGTTACAGTTTAACCTGCACTTCTCACAACTGCTCAGAGGACCCTGCTCATTTATTATTGTGCCCGTGAATCAGCCTGCAGCTGCTTCTGATTGTAAATTATTTGCATTAGATAAGAATTGTGGATGTAAATGAGTGCAGCCAGCAGGTCCTCAGCGGGGCGCCGACAACTGTCAAACCGAAAACGTCAACAACGCTCTGAAGCCTTGTGAAGCCTTAAATCCCGACTAGCTAACCGAGACCGGGAGATTGAAGTGCTGGCGCTAATCGCCACCACGACGCTGAATCGGTAAAGCAGTGGGAATCGCTTTCTCTACTCCACAATGGTCAGCGGTGTCCGGAGGAAATACAGCGGCAGGCTCCGTCCGGTGGTTCCGGTCAGGCTGGCTAGCAGGTAGCGGACAAACACACAAATGTGCGTATTTTACCTTCAGAGGAATCCTGGAGTCTCCACCGAGGCACCCCCCGGCGGACAAACAGATGGATATACGTTCGCTTTGTGCTCATACGAGTTATTATAACCTACATGAATTAAAATATCTGGGATAGGTAGCACCTTGTGTTGCACTGACGCCAATATGACACCTCAGTGACGTGGATTCGCCCTTTCCTCGTTCGTCGCTTCCGCGTTGCGACGACGGGCAGCGAGCGTGGACAACGTGACGTCCGTACTCCTCCTCCTCCTCCTCCAATACCCTCACAGACCAGCATCCTCCTGCAGGTGGATGATTGGACGATTCAGTCTTTCTTTGGCGAATTCAACCACAAGAAAAAGAGAAAAGAATCCTGTTGTGTGCCTTTATAGTCAGAAACCACTAAATACCAGGATTGCAGGGTTCTGGTTTCCTAAATGACTACTTGTTATTTTTTGTGTGCTAAAATGTGAAGGCTATGTTTTGTTTTTTTAATTTTATTATTGCTAACACATGGGAATTGGAGTATCACTGCACAGATAAGACAAAAGAAAAGACTGAAAAATAAAGAGAAATGCACGACGTTTACAAAATAAAGCATTTCGAAATGAGGGTAAAGGCCACTAAAAATATATTTTCAGTATATCTTTGGATACAGCCCTGTTTGAAAATTCAGAAGTGAAACTGTTAGATACTGGAGAATGAGCTGATCAATTGTTATTATCAGGGGTGGGCCAAAGTGTGCAGGTTATCAAAAGGATTCACACATGCTGGCTCTGACACATACCTTGCTAGTACTGGGTTACACTTTTTTTTTTTTTTAACCTTCTGAGCTTCTTTAATTTCTTGTGGTGTACCTTCAACAAGGTGCTGGAAACATTCCTTGAGAGATTTTGGTCCACACTGACATGACAGCAGCGCACAGTTGCTGCAGATGTGTCGGCTGCACACGTATGATGTTAATCTCCCGTTCCGCCACATTCCAAAGGCGCTCTGTTGGACAGATCTGGAGACTGGAGGCCATTCGAGTACAGCTACCTCATTTTCACGTTCAAGAAACCAGTTTCATCTAAGTTTCTGTCACAAAGCTCAAATTAAATGTACACATCAGAAAATGGTTAAAATTTGGCCATAAAGACGTAAATATTGTCAGCAATAACACTCTGATAAGACTGGTGTCTAAGTGATGTTTAGCTGATACTTAGGGCCCAAAGTGGACCAAGAAACCCCAACACAACGAGCATGATGGATCCATAGTTTCAAGTTTGTCATATTCTGGCCCTACTATCCAAAAGCTGTGGTCCAGTCTCAAATGTTGATTGCAATGCATACTATATCTAGACTACAATCATACTGCAAATAAGATTTTATGTTAAAGTATGAAGACTTAACATGTTCTTCAGCGTCATCACAAGCCCGGTTACAGTTAAGTCTGGTAACTGGGACAGTGTTCGATTCATTCAGCAGTTGTAATACGCACAAAAGTAACCACACAGCTGTATAAATACATAAACAAGATCACAAGAAAAACTGCTTTTAAAAACACTACCTTTATTTCATAAAATCCCCACACAAGAAATTAAAGTGTAGCCTTTACATGAATCAGAGCAAAGTATACTGACAAATCTTTAACGTGGTACACACAGAAATCCACCATTTACACACCACATACAGTTCTCTAAAGTAATGCACTGTTACCGATATACAGGATAGAAAATCTCAGTGTTGCACTTACAAAAGAAAGTTTCAACATTTACTTTGCATCAAGCTAAAGCCCAATTTTTTAAAACCAGAAAAGTAACCTAGAAAATGTTAGCAGTGCAAATTTCAGTGTTCTCTTCAGTTCTGCAGCCCATTCAGTAATAATATTGCACACCCATTACACACACACACCTGCAGAGCCAAACATTTGCTGACATGCTACAGATTTTTAAAGTGCTAGCTTGGAATTAGATTGAGAGCCAGCCTTGAAAAATATTTTGTTCTAAATTTGTAAGCAAAAAGAACAAAACGAAAACAAAACCTTATTTAGGATGCAGTTTAATGTAGAGTCAGCTGTGGTATTGCGATTACAGGTCTTGTATCAGGATGCTATAAACTACATGAGTGTGCTGTGACCCTCAAGTGGAACAACTACATACTCAGGAAAAATTAAGAACCTGAAGACATTCAGTTTGTTCTGTGATTAAGAATACATTCTGTGATGGAAATAAAACATAAAATGCCAATTCATAAATGCATAGAAGTGTTTTACAAAGATGTTGAGGACTCAAGTGAAAACAAACATGTAAGGGGGGAGAATTTAAAAAAATAAAAATAAAAAACTTCGCACCATAAGAGAAATTAAATATTTCACCTTGAGACTAAAAATTTCTATCCAGATAAAATTTAGAGCAAATTTCATGTTTTTAAGACCCAAAACAAGAATGTCTCCCAAAAAAGGCAACTGAACCAGGTAACATCTGCTTACAGTAATTTCCATTAAAAGTGATCTACAAGCAAAACACCAACCGATTATATGAACATTTGTGTACTTTATTTCACCCAAAATAATATACTCCGGATTAAACTGTACATGGAATTAAAAAGCAAACACAAGCAATCAGCTTATTACGTGACATGAAAGAGAAGGCAGATACTGCACTGTTAGGTGGACAGCTGTAAATCAAATCAAAGTAGTTTCTGTAAGGAAAGGTACAGTAGTTAAGGTTTTCCAGGCCTGATGGACAGAGGTAGGTAGCATTGAGCCTCAATCGAGGCCAGAAACCTGAGAAAACGCACACACACACCGATGACCCTAACCCTCCAGAAATCAAAATATATACACATGTACAAGCACACCCAGGTGCAACCACATACAGTATGCGTGTATACAAAAAACAAATGTGGTTTCCTATTGAACAGTCTAGTGTGCTCTTTGAAAAAAGAAAAGAAAAAACAATTCGAAGCCGATTCAATCAAAACCAATCAGCCACTCTGGCGTCTGATAGCGACACATGCTACACTTGCAAGGTTTTGACAGCATAGCTACTAAACAGTGTAATTTGTGATAGCACTTTTTGTAAGAACCTGAAGAGTTAGGTCTGTTTTTTTTTTTTTTCTGAAACTAAAGGCTGTGAGGCCACAAAGATGTGGGTTGCAATCAAGTCAGCACCAGAACCAAAAATAGCTTTGGCTAATATGCTTTATTTCCACCAAAGCAGTGCCTAGTCTACAACTAGCTCCATGCCTTTGAGTTAGACAGCACTACTGGGTCCTAAAAGCTAGCCCCAAGTTTGGATCCATAGTAAGTGGCTACAAAAGGCACTACTGCAAGAAAGTTAGGTGATTCACAGATGTAGGCTGAAAAAAAGACCCCCAACTTTTATGTAATGCCATGCAACATTTGCATCAAACCTGTCAAAGCTTATGCTGGTTCTCAAGAGCACCAAAGTAGAACTGGCACTGCATCAGTGGTGAAGAGCCATTTGTGACTTTGCAGCTATCAAACAGTAAGCACCTGGTGTTCTGATACCTTGACAGTTTTATGGTGTTTAAAGTCAAATTGTGCTGTGCAACAGAAGTGAAAGCAAAAAGACAAAAACAGGCAACACAAAAAGTCTCAAATCACAGTAAATACTCCAGGGTTTATATCTGTTAGTGAAGGTAGCTGTGAGAGTGTACTGATAGCTGTATATCGGCAACGTTTACGCTAACTAAGTAGTGATCCAGCTGTAAAGACTAAAATTTATTGTGCAAGACTCATTTTATTGTGCAAAAACAGCTAAACAAGTGTGAGGAGGAGTAGCGTTTGTGACAAAGAGTAAATAAGTCCTAATATCTATGAGGCCAGTGTCTGATCCAACTGTACCTCTGTACCTACACTAATTCCTCACATCCAGTATTTAATGTCAACATCTGGTTGCTAGAGAGAACTAATTCATCCATTTCCAAAAAAACAAAAAACAAAAAAGGCACAAAGGCGTTAGCTTCAGTTAGCTACAAGGCTCTCAGGTCCACTAAGAATATATCTACACCTATGCTGCTACCTTAACGTAAATGGTTACAGAAAACAAGCAAATACAAACCACCCACTAATTGAAACAAACATTATTTAAATCAAAACCTGAAAAAAGAAAAAAAAATAAGGAAAGGAAGATCGAAGGCGTTTAATGTTAAAAGACTCAGTTTGAGCAGTTCATCATAAAACCAGGTCCAATACAATTACCAGATCCAGAGACTTTGGTATATAGAGAAGACCTTTTACATCTATACGGACTACCGAAGACCTCTGTATGCGGACACTGATATTCAGCGTCATTATCTTAGTGTGGGTAATACATTATACATGCCAATACTGGGGGGAAAAAAAAGGGCCAGTCCCTGGCAGGGATCCCATTTCTACATTAGGACCAAGTGCCCTAATCACATCTGCCTGATTTGACCTTCAAAAATGGTCTGAATTGTATTCCATCACCCTGTCAATAAAACCTGCTCTTCCCAGAACACACTAAAGATGAAATGGATTCCAGGCTTAATGCACTCCTTAGAAGGCCAGTCTCTTACTGGCTAGGAACTCTTCCAGCTGAACCTTGCCGCTGCCCATGAGGCCAAAAGCCGGATACATTGTTCCCGAACAATCCACCTGCCTCTCGTAAAGGCACCTCATGGTGTCGGCGTCGTAAAAATACACTCGGCACGCGTCATAATCAAGGCATACGCCCAAGCGCTGGGGCATAGGAAGCATGCGGCTGCCGGGGTCAGCTGACTGTGCGTTTGCTGTGGAAGAGCTAGACGATGAAGAAGCCTTCGGGATGATGAGTTTGCCCATGCCCAAGGTGACGAGGGTGAAGGGCTGGGAGAGCTCATAGCACGCATCTTCACTGCCGCTGTCGTGGCCGCTGTCGTGGTCATACCTGGTAAAAGGAAGGTAGCGGTAAAGATTGGTTTTGCACTTGGAAAGTTTATGCAGAACTTTATTATTAGATGAACTTATGAATTTCAGGCAATTGATCTGGAGGAAACATCTAAGCATTGTCTGAACACTGCCTGGTCCTTATCAATTTGCATGCATCACATAATTACCATAGAAGTCAAATTTATTTGCATTATGCAATGTTCTCCTTTACATGGGCTAATTTGCTGAAAAGGCCAAGCTTCATCTCAATAAGCTCTTTAAGAGTTTATACTGGTTCTCTTATGTCACAGGATTAGGTATGGCTCAAATACACTTGGCGCTACACTGCATTTGTTATGGTTAGATTTGTCACCTGTAGACCACATGCCTATAGATTATAGCAACATAAGGGG